TAGGTACTTTAGATCTCACTCCTCCTCGCTGCCCTTCCTGTCCACTCTCTGCTTGTTGGCATGCGGATAGAGGACCTCCCCCTTAATTTGAGTGAAAGAGAAGCTGTAGATTCAATCAATTATTGAAAGAGCAGGGGGTGGGGGTGGGTTGGAAAGGAGGGGATTGAGGGTAAAGCCTTGGTTGGTCAATGCACAACGCATTAGCCTCTCCTCAAATCTGTTTTGAAAGGTCCTGCATTCAGACAACAAAGGCAGAAGCACTTAAAGTTAACATCATTACTGCCTCCGCTGCAGCTCAGACTGCTGCACAGGAATGAACGGCGGGTCGCTGGCATCTGGGAAAGGAGGAAACAACACGTCGAAGTGCAGCAAACACACATCAGCTGCTGACGGTTACCATTCGGGCCGTCGTGTTTGAGGCTCATCAGTTATTTAAATTCAAATAAAAGGACTGGCTAACGTTCCCTCCTTTAGTTTCATGTTTTACTTTTTTCATTGTTGTGTTCTTTATTTTCATGTTGAGGAGAAACCATTAAATTTGTTGCTGCAGATATTTGAACAACTGCTCCATGTTACTTATCATCATATTCATTGCTTGAGTTTCCTTCCTCCCTTTTTTCTCCTTTTTTGCAAATTTCCACCCAAACCTTCCTTTCTCACAGAGGACAGTTCTCAGTTACCCGTCGCTACAGATGCTGCTAACAGCACAGTCACCAATGGTATGTGAGCATAAAGTTCTTCCCTTCCCTCAGTGAATGGAGCCCACAGTGAGAGTGACAGTAGCCCATGAGGGACATTTGAAGATGTCCTTCTGTTTCTTGACCCATGAAATGAGTGTCATTTTATTTCTCTTCCCTTTAGTATGTTTGTTTCTGCGTTTACTGAATTTGCTCCAGTGTCCCTGTCCCAGAATGAGAAATATGATCCGTCTGAGTGGAAATATTTCTCCTTTTTCTCCCTCAGGAAAACAAGCTGATGGAGCTGTGGAGAACAATCAGAATAAAGGTAACAAAAAGTAGATTCGTTTTAAATCACCTTTATATTTTTCTCTTCTAATTTTGGAATATTTTTCAGCTTGATTACAGAAACGTTTTTATAAGAAATTCGAAATATAAATTTGTTTTACCTAAAAAGATGAAGCAAAAGTCCTATTTTAATAACTAAAACATGTTTGTAGTAAGAATTAGTGTAACTATCAGAATTCCTAGATCTAATATAAAATAACAATCTTTTGTTTAACAAACATTTTTAATTATAAAACATTATTCTTATTACAGTTCATATTCATAAAGTGAACACATACAGTGCTTTCAGTTTTATTTAAGCAACCTGTTGCATATTTTTTTCCTTTTTTTTCTATGTCGGACAAACAGCTACTATTAAACGACTGTAAAGCTTAAGAAAAATGAGCTTTTGAAGTTTTTTTCACTAATAGTGTCAGGGTTTGGTTGTGGTTTAAGGACCCAAATGCAGAGGCAGAGAGGCAGAGGAGAGTTTTCTCAGTTTTAATTAGTGGTAACAGTTAACAGTGGCAGGAATCCAGGAATCCAAAATCCAACTTGAAATTTAACACAAACCAGAACCATGGAGACATCAGGGGAAACCAATCACAAGGAGCCAGGGTAAGACGAGAAACCAGCACTGAGGAACAGGGAGACTATGGCTCGGTTCGAATTCATGGGACGCGTCCTCAGAAGGCCAGATTTGAAAGACGATTACGTCATAGCGCGGCGCCGAGGTCTGGTCGATTCCAAGAGTCCTCGTTATGCGACCTTAAAATGCGTCCTTCTTTAAGCCTGATTTGAAGGACGGGTCCGATGTATCCTCGCTATCCTTGGTTTACCCAGGATTCATTGCGAGACCAAGCAAGCCGTGATCAGAGGAAAGGTTACGTGGCGCCGAACAGTGGTGAAAATTGAAAGTTCAGTTTAATATAATCCAGTCTGTGAATAGTTCCGTCTGAAATGAATGAAAATAGTTGTTTTAATGGTTATAGAGTCAGATATGTGGCGATAATGTTTGATTTATCTAAAAGTTTTTTTATCTGTTACTGTGTAAATGGGTTTGGCTGTAATTTAAGGACAGATTCTAATATATCTGCAGGGTGGGGACTATAAACCTGATAGGATTTTTAGTATTTTATTGCCATTTTGAACAATTTGCTTAAGTGACCCAGTATTTTTTCAGTTTTTTTTGTTGTTGAATATTAGAGATTGTGCAGATATATTTTAATTCATACATTGTTTAGATTTACTTATATATTTCTACCCCTTTTATAGAATAGAAAATGTATGTATTGTCCCACAATGGGCAAATTTACAGCAGCAGAAAGATTATTGAAAATGGTCACACAAATGTGGACCTTAGAAAAATGTATAAGAATAACATAATAGGGAAGAGTTAAAATATAAACAATAAATTCCTGTAAAGTGTTTCAACAATATCAATCTGTGCAACTGGAGAATAAATAACCAATATCCATCTATGGACATTTTTACATTAATGGATATTTGAAAATAGCAGCAAAATCAGAGATTTGCAGAATGTTAGCAGCATGTTATTTAACTGACTAAGGTTTATATCATTATATTTGATTTTATTTTTCTTCGGTATTCCTTCTTTTCCTGCTTTGTCTGTCAACTATCACGGTTGCTAAGCAACATAGCCTACGGCGGTGAAACCCGCCGAAGGGTAGACCTGTTTGCATTTACAGCCAAAACTCCTCCGGTCTCCTTATTTTCACTGACTTGGAAGGATCCAGTTTAGGTAGACCGCGTCCTTGGAGGATGCAGCCCAGGAATTCGAGCAGAGCCCATATATGGTAGACTGAACAAAGAGAGGACTAACGAGCAGATAGGAAGCAGGTGTGAAGAGAGGAGTCTAGGAAGGAGCTAGAGAAATGGACAGCAAGACAAGAGGGCAACAAATAAAAACCTAAGAACTCAAAAATTTCCAGAAAACACAACAAAATAGGAATTAAACCAATACAACTAGAAAACATGGAACAAAGTAAAACATAACAGAACCAAGACTGTGACAAAAAGTGTTCTGAAGCGTGTAGTATTTGGATTAGTTCCTTCAGTAAATCAAAGGTCATGTCTGACCCGGTCCTCCTGTCAGTTCTCCCCTCAAATCTACAGCAGATCCTGCTGCAGACCGTTAGTTGACGGAGTCACTGGGCTGGTAACCAGACCTCATGTCTGCAACTTTTATATCTAAAGAGCCATGTTGCCCTGAGTCACTTAGAGCCGCAAAATATTCTATTACTTTTGCATAAAAACAACCTAATATTTTTGATAAATATCTGCAATAGGAAACATGTTGCCATTTTAAAAAAGTATATATATTTGTATTTTTAGCTTTTTTAAAATAATTGTAAAACATAACTTCTAATTTAATTAGAGGGAAAAAATGCACTAAAAATATATTTCTTTTTTCTTTACATGTCACTGTTATGAAAATTCAAATATTCTTTATAAAGGTATTTGTTATAGTACATTAGTGAGGATCACTTTTAGCTATTATTAAGAACAATAGGAGAGGATCCAAGGAGCCACATGTGGCTCAGGAGCCGCAGGCTGCAGACCCACTTAGACCGTCACCTGTCCAGGAGATGCAGATATTTGCAGAGGTCCAGGTTCTGTCCAGGTTCTATCTCGGTTCTGTTCCGGTTCTGTTCAGTTCAGTTCATTTCTGTTCAGGTTCTGTTCTGGTTCTGTTCAGGTTCCGGTTCTGTTCAGTTCAGTTCCGGTTCTGTTTAGGTTCTGTTCTGGTTCTGTTCAGGTTCCGGTTCTGTTCAGTTCAGTTCCGGTTCTGTTTAGGTTCTGTT